CATCTTTGACAGTCACCTTAGCATACACTGACAATAGAATGTACAGAAAAACAAAGGAATAAACCCTAAAAATAAATAAAATCCCTAGGACCAAGAAAGGTACATCTTTAAATTGAAAAATTCCTGAGAACCTACAGAAATGAATGAAAAAACAAATGGACATGGAATTACATCTTTTTGAAACTTAAAATTACCAGAGATAAAGAGAAAATTCTAAAAAAAAAAAAAACAAAAACAAAAAACAAAAAACCCTATGAGATAGAGAAAAATAAATCAAGATACTACAGTTTTACTTAGCAATAGTGGAAGGTGGAGGTCAAGGCAATGTCTTCAAAATTCTAAAAGAAATGTTTTCCAATTCATAGCTAAACCAGTTATAAGTCAAAAGTAAAGATAAGTGATATGTCTCCAGGCATCTGAAATTGAAAAAAATTACAATTTACAGATACCCTTTTTGGTGGGGTACAAACAGAGTTCTTCTCTTTCCATAACTTTGGCTGTCCCTGAACTCAGTATGTAGACCAGGCTGGCCTTGAACTTGAACTGAAACAGATCTGCCTGTCTCTGCCTCCCAAATGCAGGGGTTATGTGTGCCATCATGCACAGCTCTATAGATAACTATGTGGCATCTTTTAAATAATTGTATAGTTCTTTTGTTTGTTTGTTTGTTTGTTTGTTTGAGACAGGGTCTCTCTACATAGCCTTGGCTGTCCTGGAACTCACTATGTAGACCAGGCTAGCCTTGAACTCACACAGATCTGGCTGACTCTGCCTCCCAAGTGCTGGGATTAAAGGTGTGCACCACCATGCTCGGCTAAATTTGTATACTTTTAAAAGGACGACATAGTGTAAGTACAGAAAATCACTAACATGGCAGCAAAGACAAGCCCAGAACAGCTATGCACCGGAGATGCCAAAAGGAAGCCAAAGCATCTGCTGGGTGCGAAGCGGGCAAAACGTGAGAGTCAAGCTTTGGACACTGCAGACACTCTCAGCCAATGAAAGGAAAACTAAGATGACCTGTGATTTTCACTCTAGTAACAAACTGAAGGAAAAACAGTAAGACAATTAGAGCAAACTGTCGCTGAGGATAACCAAATTTTATCCTCACAATAATGACAACTCGAGGTGTAGAACAAACCAAAGGTCTGTACCACTGGGATGGAGGAAGGGAAACAGGCAGTGCCTTTTCCTCCTCTACCAGAAGAGGAGAAATGATCATGGCTAAAATTCCCATCTAGACATACTTCTTTCTTTTTTTTTTTTTTTTTTTTTGGTTTTTCGAGACAGGGTTTCTCTGTGTAGCTTTGCGCCTTTCCTGGGACTCACTTGGTAGCCCAGGCTGGCCTCGAACTCACAGAGATCCGCCTGGCTCTGCCTCCCGAGTGCTGGGATTAAAGGCGTGCGCCACCACCGCCCGGCTAGACATACTTCTTAAAATGAATACAGCATTGGAGAGAAATGTTGAGAGTTGAAAGATGGACTCATACATTAAGACTTTAGCATTATTTCACTTTAAAGTATAACCTACATGTTACTACTACTATACAAAATGTTATGCTGAATGAAATAAAACAAAACAGCCGGGCGGTGGTGGCTCACGCCTTTAATCCCAGCACTCGGGAGGCAGAGACGGACGGATCTCTGTGAGTTCGAGGCCAGCCTGGTCTCCAAAGTGAGTTCCAGGAAAGGCGCAAAGCTACACAGAGAAACCCTGTCTCGAAAAACCAAAAAAAAGAAACAAAACAAAACAAACAAAAAGGCAAAAACTAACACCCAAAGTAAGTATATTTTGCCAGTGAGTAAGTAAAAATTCATGCCTTAGGGAGATTATTTCTACTGAGTGAACAAAACAACAGAGAAATTTATAATACAATTACAAACAGTGATAAACATTACCCCTGAAACCAGTAATTACACAGAGTTAATGCTAGGCAAGAAGTATGTTGCTTCTGGTAAATCTGTGAAGGAATGACTCTAACTAGTGAGTCTCTTTTTTATTTATTTATTTATTTATTTATTTTTTAATTTTTGAGACAGGGTTTCTCTGTGTAACAGTCCTGGCTGTCCAGGAACTCGATTTGTAGACCAGGCTAGCCTCGAATTCACCTGCCTCTGCCTCCTGAGTGTTGGGATTAATAACTAGTGAGTCTTGATCAGAAATCTGAATAAAATTAAGGACTGGACTTTTCAAAAGTAGGATACAAATACAGTCTAAGAGACTGGGAATAGATTTGTTTAATGTGTAGGGAACTAGTGAAAATCTAGAATTAAGAGCAGAATTACCCAAAGGAAAAGGTTAGGACAACCGCCAGAAGGAAAAGCAACCCTTATTAACAGCTGATAGCGCCCAGGTGGACAACATGAAATTTACTAATGAGAAGGAAATGAATTAGATGACAAAATTAATAAGTTATTACTTTTTGATTATGAAAATGAACTATGATTAAAGCCTTATTTGTCTTTTTGACTAAACGAAAATCTGATGTCAGGTATGTACAGTCAAAAAAGACCAGGCCTATGGACGTTAGAAAAATTTTAAAGTGTAAGTTAAAAAACAAAACAAAAAACCTTTAAAACTTTGAGAGCTTAAGCATATCACACACACACACACACACAAGCATGCATTTTATAAGAACACATGAACAGCCACAGGCTATTTCCTCCAGTGATAATTTATCAGCTTTCTATTACAAATCAAATTCAAAGTTCCATTAGACAATGCACGGTTTAGTAAACTTATCCCCAGGAAGATATCTCACATGAAAGAATGCTTGGAGCTCTTTAGGAACCACAAAAACAAGGTTAGAGTGAGGACTTACTGAAGGAAAGATAGGAAAGAAGTCTGTAGGCTACTGTCAGCTCTTTCACACTGGCCGTGCCTTACCACCATTGCCACTGATGTCCACCCTACCCCATTCTAACTTAACCGGTAGAGTGAAGACTTGGACATATTATTCCAATAGTCAACTCTAACTGGGCACCACTACATAAGAATTGTACAATGGGAAAAAAAGGAAAATGCCAACACTGGTAACACTGTTTACACAGAAAACAAAAATTCCAGACTACTAAATGAATCTGATCCCATTATTCCACCTCAGGGAAAACACCTAAGGACCACAGTCTTCATGGTTCCCACTGCTTTCTTATTCAGTATACAGTCTTGGTCAGCCTGTAAGAACCTCAGTGATACAGTTTCCTGGCTACTGCTCCTATCTCATCAAGTGAACGACTGTACAGCCTAATTAAACTATGCACAGTCTCTTTAGGTGTATCCAACTTTTTCGTCTCTTCTCATACATTAGTCCATCTGCCTTCACCAATATGCCCAGTTCTAGTCAGTCTACCTTGCATTTGTCCCAAACTCCCACTCATCATCAAGTCCAGGTATATCCTACCCTGAAAGGCTTCGAGGAACCACCTGATAATGATCACGTGCTTCCCTGGCACCATCATGCCACACTTAGAAATGTCTATAAGCAATTTCCTCCACTAATTCTTGCGTGTTCTGCGAGCACAGGGTAGGCATCTTGTTTGTTCTTAATCTCTGTACTGTGTCTACTTTGGAGGACTGGTTTACCGACTAAGAGAAATTGATCATGAATGAGCATAAAGTGACGTAACCACTAGTTCCAATTTTCAGCAGGAAGGATAAAGACATTTCAAGTAGTAAGGGGGCTATGGAAGCTCAAATAATTATGTAAAGATGGATGTGGACCACATGAAGGCTTTCATCATCTTCGATGATTGCCCTTTTACTTTTTCCCCCTTTCTAGTCTGCTTATGGACTCCTCTAATGAACAGAGATAAATAAAAGCAATAACCAGACTATAAAGGGAGAATCAACGCTTTGATGATTTTTATTGCTTAGGCTAGGGGGTGGTGATATCATTGTGTAATTTATTTATATTTACACAAATTTAATTGTGTAATCAATACATAATAAAATTATATACTGAAATATTCCTTGACATGGTACATTTACAAGCATTTGAAAATGTTAAGTTGCTAAAAAAAAAAGTCTTACATTTATGGGTAACACTGCTGGGAGCTGAACTCTGGACACTTTGAAGTCTCTTAAAAAGGGTATTTATTGGTGGCATTTGCATACATCCACACATGTTAGTGTGCTTGCATGTATTCATACTCATAAGTTTGAAAAGGGCTTTTTAAAAATCAACCCACAGAACAAGTGAACTAAAGTCATTTACATTCATTTCATGGTTTAAATCCACAAAACAGATAAGCATCTTAATGGTAAGAAATTGGTACTCATAAAAAACAAAACTAGTTTATAAATCACGCCCTACAAAATGAAACAAATGGGAAAAAAGCAAAACAAAACAGGTCTTAATTCTCCGAAACCATTCTGTTACAAGAATGCCCAAGACTTTATCTCTGGGCCCCATTTCTGTCTGGTACTAACTCTTCTCAAGACATCATTCTGACTCAGAACAGGTTTTACAACTTCTAGGTATTTCCTGACCTATTCTAGAATAATTACGGCCACGTAACATCTTACACATAACCGAAAGCATTTAGTTTTTTTTTTTTCAACGCCTACAGGGGTGGAGGGAGCTGTGCCTGTGTGTGAAATTTTCAGAAACCTGTACACCTGAATACTCACTCCTGAGTCAGACGTCAGAGCCAAGTCAGACAACGTGGAGGTGCACTGGCTTACACAAGAGGAAGGTAAACAGTGCAAAACTAGTGTTTCGTGTTAAAGGAAAGGAAAGTTTTGGGCTCTCGTGGAGACACTTTCCTACGGCTAACCAGACCTAAGGCTGGTTCACTGAGGCGGAAAAGGCCCAGCAAACAGAATGCAGGAATCTGTTTCCACCTTGCTAGGCTAAAATCCGCGCACGCATGGTATTCCCGGCCACCAGGTGCCTCCCCTGCCCGGGCTCCCAGTCCCCAGATGCGAGTTCTACCCTGAGCCGGGTCCAGATCTCAATCTGGACTTGCGGGCGCCGCGTCCGCCAACCCGCCGGCCTCACCTTGGTTACAGAAAAGGCTCCACAATTTAGCGAAGATCAGCCCCATCATGAGCCCCGGGCGGGACGGGCTCCCCGGGCAGCACTGGGCGGCAGGTGCCGCGGCGCCCGCGGTGGAGCCGAGGCGAAGCCGAGCCGGAGCCGCGGAGCCTCAGAGTCCCGCGAAGCTTGGGTCTTCCGCGGAGCCGGGAACCGCCGCAGACTCCTTTGTTCGCAGCGCGCTGAGCCCAGCCCCGACCCGTAGTCGCTCCGTCTGCGCCCACCTACCCAGCACAGCCTCAACCGGCCGCGAGCCCCGCCCCCGCCCCGCCTCCCCGCCTCAGCCCGGGACCACCCATCGCCGGAAGGTCGGCACGTGACGTCGGCGCGCTGACGTCAGCTGGCGCTCGGACGTGGCGGGTCCTCCCTGTGCACTTCCGGTGGGTGTCCCGCGGGCCGGTTGGCGTCAGCGGGGGCGGGGAGTGGCGGAGCTGGGGATTTCCTCGGCGCGCGCTCCCTCTCCCGTCACTCTGAGGAAACGCGGACTCGGCTCCCCGGCTCCAGCGTTCCACCCCGCGGCGTCGCTGCTACGTCCCTCGCTGCTAAGAGCTTGCAGAAACTCAGCTTTGTGCGGTCCTCTGGCTGCGCGGGGAGGAGTGGGTTTTCATTCCTGTTCCCCCCAGGCTGGCAGTCTCGGGATTCCAGCGTGATTCTTAATTCTTAATAGAACTGATGGGGACACGCGCGCTGGAATCCCTGTAGCCAGGATGCAGTTAAGTTTCTAATACCGGTCGTTGATCGCAGAATCCTTACCAGTTGAAAAATGGAAGTCTCATAGGCCGGAATAGTCCCTGAGGCCGCCTGGCGGGCCCCACATAACTAGAGAAGGATTTTTAAGGCCGGGTTAGCACCATAACCTATTCCATGACCTCTTCTTAAGTCAAGTGAGTGTGACTTAAAATGCCCTGCTGGTGCTGTGCTTCAAAGACCAGTGAAGACTTAGGTGCAAGATCATACTCGCCAACTTGATGACACTAAACCCTAGCTCCAGTCTCTCATATGGAGGAAAAGATGTACTGATCTTTCAGCATTCAAACATTCAAAGCATTCAAACTTAGCTTTAATGACCATTTCGTTGGACCATAAATATAAACGAGTTTATAGTTGTGTAAGCAGGTTTAAAGGGTCATGTCTGCTCCTGGTTTCATTATTAAAACGCCAACTTTAGATTCTCTAACGCCCCTTTCAGTTGAGAATTTAGAAATTTGAAAGTTTTACTAACCGGAAGGAAAGGAAAACTACTCCGACTAAAAAAATTATGCTGACAAATTTACTTGAATATTGTTTAAACAAAATGCTTATATGTGTACTGATGTTACAAAAAAAGGCACTTAAATTTATGCTGTGCACTTGTATTGACTATATTAAATTGTAGTAGGAATGTTTATCAAGAATTTAATGAAACTAGAAAATTCTGAGAATGTACTTTTTAAATGTCGCTCATACAAACTAAATACTTTTTCTTTAAATATCCTTTTAAGGTTTTGTTGACACTAATTTCCGTGTTGCCTTTGGTATAGAAGAGGTAACATTGTTTTATAGAATGGTGACATTTGAAAATGAATATAATTTGAATTCTTGAGATGAGAATAACTGCATGAAAATATCAGGAATATAGGCTATTGTGTTATGCGTTGATTGGAAATGACAACTTTCACTAAAACAGAACCCCGGTAAAAAACTGTCCAACAAAATATTTGAAAGGTTTAAGAGCTAAATTAGCAAAAAATAAACTGAAATTTCAAGGAACTCGTGGAGCTTAAAAAAGCAAAACTTTGTAGATTTTCATAGGAGGAACCATTATAAACTTACCAGATGACACTTGGAAAAACTTGATATCTTTGGCATTGAATTCAACTTACTAATCAGTTAAGTTAGATCAGTTTGTACAGAGCTTGAAAAAAAGCATTCAGGGAACTTGGTGCTCTGCCAGCTAAGGAGGAAAGCCACTCTTCCAAAACTCCTTAACCTTCCTCAAGTCAGTTGGATTTCAGTTCAGTTGGTCGGGTTCCAGCTGAGTTGGGATTGATTGCCCATCAGGAAGTTCTTTTCTGCCATATGGTCAAAGAAATCAATATAACTTCATTCAGTAAATATCTATTAGACACTTTTAGATGCTGTAGGTGATTGATTGATGCAAGCAATTTACTATATCATTCCTGAAAGTAAGAAAGAACATATTGACAAATGTCTGATGAAGCTGTCTTTTAGAGTCACAAAAGAGGTTACATAAATACCCTGAATTTCAGAATATTTCCTAGGCCAAAATATCTTTAAGTCTATGACTCTGGTCATAACTTATACAATGAGACGTGACATCTCTCCTCTGTACTTCAGGGATCACCACAGTCAGCCTTCTCATATTCTGTAAGTGTTCCTCCAACCGGTGCTTGGAAGCTCTCACCTTGTGCAGTGTTATCATTTGGGGGCATGATTACTCTCCTTCCTGGTTCAATGGAAGCCAAGGAAGTTTGTAAAGTACGATTTGTGGGAGGATAGGATTTTGTGACATGTTTTAGTTCTCTCCTCTTAAGAAACCACTGTACCCTGCCCTTTGTTACAATCCTGTACCTTCGGATGGGACCTATTACACACATTTTTTATAACTTCATTAAAACCTAGAAATCTGCACTCACGCCTCCCTTACATAAACTAGTTAATTTCTGATGTGTCAGAATTTGGGTCACTTCAGTTCTTCCCTACTGAGTGAAGACTGACAGCCATGCCTTCAACATGGGTGATCGTATCATCTAACACTTAGAGAAGGTTGGCCTTTTCCAACACTCTTTAAAGCAGGTTATCTAATGTGCAATCTTTAGTAACACCATAAAGCATGCCGTGTTATCTCCATTTAGATGAGAAAAATAAGGTGTAAGAACTCTTAATAATTTGCCCAGTGTGCAAGAGCCGTCATATGAATCATAGCAGTCTAGATTGGCAGTGAAATTCTTAACAGTTAAGAAGATATGTTGAATGAATGGCTCATTCAACAACTTGATAAACTCCATCCTCTAAAGTTAAAGGCATTTTATTTTCAGAATCTTTACTGTTTGTTTCTTTCTCAACTGGCAAGGATACATTCAGGACAGAACAGCAGGGATTTAGGCTTGGACTGGTGGATCTTCAGAGAGGTCTGGCTTGTAGCCCGTTGTGGTGCTAATCCTCAACGTTTTGTAATCACAGCAAGAGAAATGAGGAGGTTCAGGTAAGGTATAGACTATAATTTGTAGAACTAAAGATGAACAAATCCAAAAGCTGATGTGCTTAATCCTGGCAGCATTCTGAACTAGATTATATTCATTCTTTGGCTTTCCAGACACTGTAGGTCCTAGTTAGTATTTTCTCAGATGACAACTGTATTTGAAAGCTGAGATACTATATTTACAGGATTAGATTTGTGGCTAAATGGATGTGTGTAGATGTCATGTTGTCTTTATAGAACATGGGGGATTATCAGGAGGAGCTGGGTGTTGTGGTAAATGCCTATAATCCTGTCTCTCACAAGGTTGAGATAGGAGGATTGTGAATCAAGAACACCCTGGGCTAAATAAGGAGGGTCTGTCTCAAAAACAAACAAACAGACAAACAAACTAAGGAGAAATTTTAGATGCTTAGCATTTGGGTTTAAAAAAAAAAACAGTTGGGCTGTAGTCAGATTTTTCTTTGGGGTGCCAGCTAACAAATAACGATATGGAGACTTATTAATTATGAAAAGCTTGGCCTTAGCTTAGGCTTGTTTTTAACTAGCTCTTATAACTTAAATTAACCCAATTCTATTAATCTACCTTCTGTCACATACAGGCCATCCTGCTTCCTCCTGTCTTCTCCCCACCTCTCCCTGTCCCTGTCCCTCCATACCCTCCCTTACCTCCCCTAGATTCTCCCTCCCTTTCTCTCTTTGCCTATAAGTCCTGCCTAAACCTGCTGCCTAGCTTGACCACTCAGCTTTTTTTTAAAGATTTATTTATTTATTATGTATACAGCATGTATGACTGCAAGCCAGAAGAGGGCACCAGATCTCATTACAGATGGTTGTGAGCTACCATGTGGGTGCTGGGAATTGAACTCAGGACCTCTGGAAGAGCAGTCAGTGCTCTTAACCTCTGAGCCACCTCTCCAGCCCCCCCCCCTCAGCTTTTTATTAGAGTAATACATCTTCACACAGTGTACAAATATCCCACAATACTGGGCCTTGTGTGCATGTAATTCCAGACATGCAGATCCCTGGAGCTTGCTGGCCAGTCAATCCAGCTGAATCAGACAGGCCAGATTCAGTGAGAGAACTTTTCTCCCCAAGATAAAGTGGGGAGCAACTGGGATTGCTACATTGATCTCTGGCTTTCACATGCATGTGCATGCATATGAACTTGCACCTGCACACACACATTTGTACACACACACACACACACACACACACACACACACACACACACGTTCGTGCTCATCCACACAAATCCAGGAGAAAAGCAATGAAAGAAAAAGGAGTAAGTTCCCTTTACTGCAGAAGTCTACAATCCAGAATTAAGATTCTGTTCCCAGGATCAATCTGAAATAACATCCTCAGAGATGAAATGAGGTCAGGTTGTGGTAGAAGAAATAAAAGGTGAATATGATAAAATATAAAATGAGAGAATTAGATAGAAACTGGAGGTGAGATAGAAATTGGTTGTCCTTTTTTCCATTGGGAGTGAAGAAGCTTCTTTGAAATCAGCGTTTCTTCACCATTTAAGAATATCACCCTTGTCGGTAGCCTTTCTAAAATCACCTCCCCTTCACCTTGTGACCCCTCCTCATGAAATTAAATAAGGATTAAATCTTATGTGAAGTTCAATTTTAGAGTGCCATAAACAAGCTTAAAATGATGGGATTATATCTGAGATGTATTCCTCCCATCAGTCCCTACCTGGGAGCCATACTATCCTTTAAAGAATGCATAGCCTCAGTGGTTTCTGCATGCCTGTATTCCTATAGGAGTCTTCCTTTGCTTAGACAGTACATGCTCACTCTACCAACTGTAGATTTATGACATGTTTTCTTGATTTTAGTTGTACAACACCAGCACACCTACTCATTCACATAACTGCCACTACAATCATATCTAGCCAAGATTAATATAAATATCTAGTCACTGTTCAATGTTCTAAAGTAGTGAACTACTTTATATTAAATGTATGTTTAACAGTCATTTCCTTTTCTACTTCACAAAGGTGTCTGTGTTCTATTAGTCATTCAGGGAGTGGCCTTTATATGTCAAACAATGAATACACTATGTGGAAATGAAATTTCTCCCTCTTGGAGTCTATATTCAAGTTCAGGTTTTCTTTATTTCTAAAGATTTCTACTGCAGCTAGTGTCAGGGCCACTACAAAATCGCCTGTCAGAATTCCCTTCCTTCGTACGCTTGGCTAGTCCTCTGAATCCTCGCCAAGGCATCCCTGTTGCCGCAGGATGCCACTTACCTGTTCTACCTGCCAGACTGCAGCAGAACAGGCTGCCCTTCCCAGGCTGGACAATGTCTACTGACAGCAGCAGGATGGCCGTGACAGCAAAGCTAGAGCACACATGAACACACAGCCTTCACCAGAGCTTGGTTTATCCGGGCCTCATATTGTTGTCTGAGTCTGGGTCACCCCTGCTGCTTTTATACCGGTAGCTCTCTGTTTATGTCAGCTCGGCTATAGACCTAGAAAACAGCCATATAAAATAGGAAAAATAGAGTATGGTGGGAATTTTGGGTGGTGCAGCTGCCCGTGAAGTACCCATCCTGCCGTATGTAAGTAAGCCTAGCAAACAAATTTATTTTTCCAAGCTTGATTTGTCAAGTTTTTCTTTGATCACTTCACTCTTCTTATTTGGGGTGAATAGATGTTGTCTTCTCAGGAAAGTCATGCAGTGTTTTCAAAACATGTGTCTCTTGGACATTTTCTTTACTGATTTTAGATGATTAGATCAAGAAAGAACCCCATGCATTCACTGAATATACATGATACTGCGGAAAGACTGGGTGTTGGTTTCTGAAAACAACTTACTGGTCCTAAGTCTTTTTTAAAAATGATATAATGGAAAGTTCTTTCAGCTTTTGGAGCCTTGGTTTACTCATTGAAAAACTGTTTATAACCATGTTGCAGAACCATGGCAGAGTGCCATTGCCAGTGTTTTCACCTAGTAAAGAGTTGGCATGCCATCGAAAGGAGCAGGTATATTTTTTTAAAGCCAATGTGAAAACTTAAAAGATTTAAGAAAACAAAACGAAACCCAACAACAACCCTTTCCTACCGTTCCAAATGAGATACTGCCCAAAACAACAAAAAGCACAAAACAAAAACAAAACACCCACTCAGCGGCAGAGACAGAACTGTCCTTCATGATCAAGTATACAACAGCCCTGTGACTTTTTGGTTACTTATTTTTAAATCCTTTTGTCCTCACTACGATAAGGAAAGTCACATCAAGGCTCTTTTCGTGCTCTGAAGTACGTTAACTATTAGCTTTATGACTAATTGTAAACACTATTAGGGCTTTTAAGTTTTACCTAAGTACTCATGGGTGTTAGCACATTAAAAAATTGTGGATATTAGGGCTAGAGAGATGGCTTAACAGTAAAGAGCACTTGTTCTTGCATAGGACCCCGGTTCCATTGCCAGCACCCAAATGATGGCTCACAACCATCATAACTTCAGTTCCAGGAGATCGAACAGGCAAGCACGTGGTGCACATACATGCACGCAAGCAAAGCATTCATACACATGACGTAAATACGTTTTGTTGTTGTTGTTTTAAAGAGTTGGTTGTGTTGTTTCACAGCTGATGTCAGATTCATGTGTCTGAGGGAGGGAAATAATTTCATGAAATCCAAGGCCAAATAAATTGTGGCCTTCACCACCACTTGCACGGGGATACTAACTGGAAATCTCCCTCAGACTAGCAAGGTATTCTGCTCAACCCAGGCCGGTTCCCAGGCCCGGAGCCCCAGGGTGAATCAGGCAAAGAGCGTTCCTCGCGGGAGAAAGCACCACCCTCATGGGTCAGGACTGGAGGTGATTGGCAGTTGCAGATGGGGCGTGCACAGAAGAGTGAGCTGCAGGCGCCGGAAGTGACGAACCAGGAAGCGACTTTCTGCGCCCGAGTTGGGGGCGCGGTTTTGGAAAATAGTATGTCAGAGTGGAAGTCGTCGGTAGCCGGTTTCCGATCTGCGTCTAGGTACATTTATTTGTCACAAACCTGTTTTTTGGCTCAGCGTCTCAGTGGCGTTCGGAATTTTCTCACAGCATCCTAGAGAACGACAAATCCAGAGAATCCTGGACCCTGCTCACTCCTGAACGCAGCCCCTCAAGGCACTCTGCTCGGCTATTGGCTGGCAAGACTGTTCGCTATAATTCCGAAAGAAAGAAAAAAGAAAAGAAAAACACAAACAAAAAGCTTCCCAACAATTTTCTTGGACAACTTCAATCAGAAAAAAAAAATGCCTATTTTTCCTAAGATATCTTTGAGACCCGAAGTTGAAAACTATCTCAAAGAGAGCTTTATGAACAAGGAGGTAGGTCATATAAATAGATATTTGCAACAATTCAAGTACAACTTCTCGGGAAGCAGAAAGAAGACAAAAAGGCAATCTTTACAGCCTTGTAAGATAAGCCTTTTTGACACTAGACTGTTAGAATGTCTTGCATTGATTCTTACTGAGATAACATGAATATATGTGCTCAAACTTAGATGTCAGAAAAAAGTGTTATGTGCTTACTAGTACACTTGTTACTGAAGGGAGAGCGAAATCAACAGGGAAAGTTCCCTGGCCACGACACTCCAGATTTCATGTAGATGATGGACTGGTTCTTTTAAAGCGCATGCTCTTGGACTCAGTTGAATGGGGGCACACTATGAGTGTCTCTTTAAGTGCTTTCAGTTATTTGATTGTAAACCTCCACATTTTAGACTAAGCAATCTTGGTAGAGTGATTTGGTCTCGTTTTTAAGAACTGAAATCAGAGTCCAAGGAATCCTGTTACCCATCCAAACTGACCTGTCAAACAACTAAAGCTCAGATGTAATTAATGAAAGAAAAAGTCAGATTTAGATCTCGAAAGCTTGGTTTATATTATATTGAGATAGGGTTCTGCACATAGCCCTGTCTATCCTGGAACTCACATCTTATACCAGGCTGGCCTCAAACTCACAGAGATCCGACTGCCTCTGCCTCCCGAGTGCTGGGATTACAGGCGTGCCCCACCATACCTTGATGGAAAGCTTTATTTTCGTATGAATTACCTTGAATTAATTCTCACTGTTAAAGCTTAATTTACTCTGAAAATCAAATAGACTTAAACGTACTTTCAAAAGTTGTCTTGGGCAAACTTAAGGGAAACCAACTACGTTGATTTGGCAGGCGAGTCTTCAAAAAAGTGTCAGTTACTTGTTACCGGATACACTTAACACAGAAGTTCCCAGTGAGTGTGGATTGCCTTCTAATGAAAGGTTCTTACATGTTCTGATCACCCTACCCTGCCACCCCTAGGCAACTTTGTTTTTTTTTTTTCCTAAATTTTTGGTTTTCTAGCAAAATTAAATCCACTTACATGCTTTTTATTTTTGAACGTTATTGGAGCTGGGATTTTAAAACTGATTTCTATGTCTTATTTCCTGATTATGTTAAGAGAATAGACTATATGGAAAGAGAAAATATTTCATGTTTAGCTCAAGGGGCCCTATAAAGTGTATGTTAAGAGAGGAAGGAATATTTAGCAATCATTTTCAGCAGTTTTATACCCAAAAGGTATATGAATTTTTTTTAAAAAGGAACTGTTGTCAAACAGTTTGGAAAGGAAAGAAATAATATCAAACAAAACTAACCCTTACATATGTTAAGACTGATGGATACACATTGAAATTGAAATCGTGTTTTTTTCATTTCAGGTTGTGTCTGCCTCAAGCAAACAAGAAGCAGAAAGGAAATTTGAAGCTCTGCTCATTCACTTGTCACACCCTCCGTCCTTCACAACTGTCAGAGTGAATACACACTTAGCATCAGTTGAGTATGTCAGAGGTCTGCTGCTTGAAGAGCTTCAGAAGGTTTGTTCACCTGTAATATATTATGCAATCACACTTCTATACTCTTGCCACAGTGTGTTCCTTCAAAATCCCATGAACAATATAATATTCCAATTTTTTTAAGCTTCTGAATATTTAGAGTTTATTATTTCATAATTTTAAACATTCTTAGTGGAAGTGTTATGGAATAAGGAATATATTTTAGATATAGAAGTATTACCTTTTACATGCCTTTAGTGTTCCATTAAATCATATACATCTATGATATGTTGACAGCATTTCAACGGTACATGTCAATTAAGTATACGCTATAACTGTGCTTCTTAATATATTTACACTCAAAATAGAACCCTACTGAATACAGAGATTTAAACCTTTGTGGATATTTCAGTTTTATAAATAAGGAAATTAAGTTATAAATGTTAAATTGTTCGAAGGTTATAAGAGGTAAAGTTAGAGTGGGCCTGGAACTTCTGAGTCTAAGTTTATTAGTACTTAGGCTGAGACTCTAAGCCCTACAGGCTTTATCATTAAAATATATGAAAACGTTCATTCTGATGTGTAAACCTAATCATATAATGAGCAGCATATAAATGATTAGGAGGGTTGATTGTGCTTTAAGATGAGTTCAGAGATATGAGGATACCTGCTAAGTAGTTGTAGAATCATATGTGTTTTTAAAATAATTTTGGGGTGAACAAATGAGTTTATTGGGCATACTTATAGAACATGGGTGAATGGTCCTTTTAGGAGAGTGGGCGACCCTGAACAGCTAGCTGCGTCTGCAAAGTCCCACCCCATTATGGGTGGTGACCTCTCAGAAGCGGCATCATGGAGTCACACTTTCAGTTCACCACCTCAGGATTTTACTTTTAATTGTGGTTAATTGAATTAAACATATGTGTCTTGTTATAAAACCACCAAATTAGGACAATATGAAGAATATGGTTTAAAAATTTTTAACCAGTAGGTTTTATCAGAATTGCTCATGTTCTAAGTGGAAACAATATTGTGAAGTGGCATTTTATAATTAAGCAGAAAAGTAGTATTTGATTATGGTGTTTATATTGGAATCATATTGCTTATATTGTTACCTCTTTATTTTCAAGAGCTTTGTATTTTGTGTTATATCATTGTACCCTGAAATTTGTCTCCAAAGAGACATAAGGTTGGAAGGAAATTGACGGTGGAGGGATTTACTTATGAATTGCCTATTGTAGTTATAAAATATTTGATGACAAATAACTGGTGGGTGTAAGCAGATCTGGTTCTATCTAATTCTCATATAAATTAAAAATGAGACAATCATGATTACAGATCCAATTGTGTAACACAGGCTGTTATCAGTGTAGAGTAAATACAGTAATTGGAATGTTAGTCTGTTAAATGCCACTGGCATTGATTCAGTTGTCTCCTTTGTGTGTGTGCTTGTGTGTATATGTATGCATGTTTGGGGGGGGGAGGTGCACAAGTGCATGTCTGTAAAGGTTAGAGGTCAACCTTGAGCATTGTTCCCCAGGCGCCATCCACCTTATAAAGGTCTTTCTTTGACCTGGAGCTCACCACCTTCCCAGAGTTAGGATTACAAGTGTGTGCCGCCATACATGGCTTTTTTTTTTTCAACCCCAGCATAGGTTCTAGGGACCAAACTGAGGTTTTCATGCTTGCATGGCAAACCCCTTTCCAACTGCACCATCCCTCAGCCTCTTCCTTTTTCTTTAATCTCATCATCTTCATGGCACATCTCTCATGTCATGCTGTTTTGGGGGATAGTTCTATAATTTCAGGTTGGACTAGCTGATGGTGCTATCAGAAGAACCGAGTAAGACAGAGGATTCACCTCAGTGTTTGAGAACTCTGATTTCGAGTCCTAGCACTATAGACACAGACAGACAAAAGCTCCACAAAACCCAGCTGTGATGTGTGAGTGTATGAAACTTAAGATGTAGTACAATAATTAAACAAAACATGAAGATGTTTCTTCGTGATGCTGTTGTTGAGAGCAAAGGTGGGCATAAAATATGAGCAGTTCCTTTAAGCAACCAAAAAGTACATATTCACAGCATGCACATATGCCTTTGGCTAAAAGGAAAGCAACTGTTTCCAGAGTATTGGAAGGTGTGTGAAATGCTGACGAATCCAGATTGCTTTCATTTCTACAACTGTGCTACTCTGGCATCCTAATCTCATAGGAACGGCATCGAAGGAGCTAAGATCTAAAGTGTCACTCTAGACTGGGTCCCTTATAGGTAAATTAAAAGAGAGGGGTCATTGAGATGGCTCAGTGAGTTAGGGCACTTGTTGTATAAGCCAGAATTCATGTTAAGATGGAAGGAGAAAACCAACTCCGTTGTCCTCTGACCTCTGCACACACACTGTGCCGCACGCACACCTACACTTACATATACAAAAATAGTAGTAGTAGTAGTAGTAGTAATAATAATAATAATAATAACAATACAAAATAAATAAAGCTGAGCAGGAAAGCCCAAACAGTTGGCACTCGATGGGAAACTGATAGGACAATTCCTAGTTCTAGAGTGAGAGGGGATCAGGAGTGTGAGATTGGACACTTCCTCCTTCTTCCACCCCAACTCTGTGTGTGCCATGAACAGCTCAGATGGAAAAATGCTTGGTGTTCTATGCTCACATTTCTCTGACCACATATTGGGATAATATCCCTTGGCTAGTGAGAAGGAATAAGCTGGGACCTTCCTACATCATAGTTGGTAACCTAAGATCGTGAGACCGCTCTAGAAAACAGTGTTGTCATCTCTTAAAGACTTGTATAGAAATGTACAGGGTACCCCAGTGATTCCACTCCATGGCATCTACCTGAAAAAGTAAAAACGTGTGTTCACAAATTCATGGCCGTGAGTCTACATAGCAGCATTATGCATAATAGTGAACGGGAGATATGATCCAACTAGTGACAGCTAATTAGAATATTCCTATGGTGAGATACTGGTCAGCAATATAAGTAGTTACTGACATGTACTAAGATGTGGATTAACCTCAAGACATGAAGTAAGAGACAAGATATCATATCTTGTATTACACAAAAGGTTTAGAAAAGCAAATTATACAGACAGAAAGATGAGTAGTTGTTGCCCAGGATGACAACAGGAAATGCTGGCAAATGGGCCTGGGAGACTTTTGTGGGGTGATGGAAGTGACCTGAAACTGGATTGGGGTGACGACTGTGCAGTTCTTTAAATGTACTGAAAATCTCTTAACACATATATGGAATGGGTGGATTTTATGACATATGAATTATACCTTTGAAAGGCTGTTTTAAAAAAGGGAGGGGTGCAGGGGTGGGATGGTTTGGTGGGTAAGGGTGGTGCTTGCTGCCAAGCCTGGTGACCAGAAACTGCATGGTAGAAGAGAGCTGACAAGGTGTCCCGTGACCTCCATGTGTACACCTTAGCATGCGCTCCCTTCCCTTAGAGGCAAGGAAATGCCAAATACATTTTTTTTTTTTTTTTTGGTTTTTCGAGACAGGGTTTCTTTGTGTAGTTTTGGCACCTTTCCTGGAACTCACTCTGTAGCCCAGGCTGGCCTTGAACTCACAAAGATCCGCCTGGCTCTGTCTCCTGAGTGCTGGGATTAAAGGCATGTGCCACCACCGCCCAGCTTCAAATACATTTTTGTTATTAATTAAAACACTTAAAGGGTAGAGGAAAGAAACTGAAAGATATTGGGCAGTATACTTCGCTTGACAAAAACAGCTCGTTTGTGTTGTCATGAAAGGGAGTCACTTATGTGACGTTTTCTTTCTGTATCCAGTTCACTTGTTCTGATAGGAAAGGAGAAGAAGTCTTGACACGACAAAGACTCATCTCTATGTAAAATAATTGCTGTGGTATAAAGCAAGTAGAATTGCTGAACAGAAATACATGACAAAATTCATCTCCTCCTTGGAAATACCATGTTTACAGTAGTTTCTCTGTAAGGTCATCAAAACGGCGAAGCAGAGAGGGAGGAAGAAGGAAAGGAAAGGGTCTGGCCTCAGTGAGAAAGGACTTACCATCCAGATTGTCCATCATTCACCTGCTGGGTGTGGTCATAGTCTGAAATATCCTTTGGAGGAAGTCAGGAGAGGTGTTGGCTTTGTGGACTTACTTTCTAAAATGTGGGGTTTTTTCCTCCTCAATTTAGAAATAATCTGAATTTGCACACTTATAATTGGTATGGATTCTGCAGTGTGATGCACTTAGTTTTGTTATTACTCTTTCAGGTAGTATGGAGAAATTAATAAATGTGTAAATCCAAGCCATGCATAAACTTTTATCAAATATTTGTGTATTTTCCCCTATAGACTACATAGAGTGCCTGTATGTCTGCTCTTTACCATGCTGCTCAGAGGCTGCCCACTCAAACTTAGCCTGTAGTAGCAATATAGTGGCTCATATTCAGCAACATGTTTTCAAAGAAAAATAACCCTGACTTATGGTGTTTGATAATTTTACCTGGTATAAACACTAGCATGAAAATTGATCTCAAACTTCTAGTGTATCCATAGAATTGGAAAGAGATGCCCACAGTGAGTCTATGTAAGCTGTGCCAGTAACTTATAGCTCCAGGCCCTATATGTATTTCTAGTCTAACCAGCTAAGTAAGTATAATCGATTTTCAAAATCCTGAACTTCTAATGAAAGTACATTTTGATATCAAAAATGACATGGCCTCCAGTGTTCATGGTATATGTCATATTTAGTAATTTCAATCTTTAATGTCCTATTCTGAAACTTTTAAAATGACTTTCTCTGTGTGTATATGAGTTAGGATTTGATTATGTACCCAAGGCTCACCTGTAACTCCCTTGTATTCATGATCCTCCTCCCTCATCCTCATCCTCCCCAGTGCTGGGATTACAGACGTATACCACTGTACCCAGCTTAAAACATGGTGCCTGCATGTGATTATGAGTAGAAATATGTTTTCTGAGTAAGTCACTTAAAATAAACATGGTTTGTGTTTTTAAAATTGAACAGTAAGCAAAATTGAATCCTGTAAAGAAGTCAGAACTGGGTGTGGTGGCCTGTGCCTGTAACTTCAGCTCCTACAGAATCTGAGACAGGAGGACTGAAAGCTTGAGGCAAGTGTGGGCAATGTAGGGAGATTAACTCAAAATTAAAAATTAAAAACGAGCTCAGGGTACATCTCAGTGGTTCAGCACTTGCTCAGTATGTTTGGCCCCCAACACTCTTTCCCTCTAAAGTTAGGATAGCATTGAATCAGAGAGGAAATACTTAGAGATGTGTTTACTTTCACAGTATTCCATGAAGTAGGGTGAAATAGACCTAAATCAAGCTTCCTCTGGTGGGAGATGGTGACACTGTGAAACTTGTTGCAATTTACCAATTGCACTGGGTTCTTTATCACCGTGTTCATGGTGACATGTGAGATTTACCGAGTGCACTAGGTGCTCTGTAACTGGGTGTGCTTGTTTTTAATAGCAATTCAGCGGATTCAGCATTCCTGTTCTTCGGCATCCAGCCCTCCCAGATGTCTTACTCATTCCTGTGACTGGACCAAGGTTTGTGACTGTTTTCTTTTCCCTTTATTCTTCTAAATTAAAATTTCTCCCAAAATCTTTGCTTGTTGGCAGTATTGTCTGCATTCTTAAAAACTCCCTAGAAACTGGAAGTCACCAGCTTGTAATACTTCACGTTCTGTTGTGTACTATGCTAAAAGACTAGGACTGGGCCTGAGACCTTGAAATAATGCATCTTATATCTGTGTAGTACCATGATGGATGTTATTCTAACTTTTTAGAAGTTTCATTTGTTTACTTCTATTTTTTTAAAAATGGATTTATTTATTTTTATTTTATGTGTACAAGGGTTTGTCTGCTTGTGTATATGATACCATGTACATGCCTAGTGCCTGCAAAGGCCAGAAGAGGGCATCAGATCCACTGGAGCTGCAGTTAGAGATGGTTGGAAGCTGCTGTGTGAATGCCGGGACTGAACCTGGCTTCTCTACAGGAGCACCAAGGGCTCTTAACTGCTGAGCCATCTTCCCAACCCGTTTACTTATTTTTTTTTTTTTAATTTGTTTTTGTGAGACAGGATTTTTCTGTATGTAGTCCTGGCTGTCCTGGAACTTGCTCTATAGACCAGGCTGGCCTTGAACTCACAGTGATCCACCTGTCTCTGCCTCCCCAGTGCTGGGATTAAAGGCATGTGCCACCACCACCCAACTACTTACATTTCTTATGAGATTCCAGCATTAAAATGTTTTTTGAGTTACAAAATAAATAAATACATAAAAAGTATTATATTTCATAATTGGGTTTGTAAAATTTTATACTTAACAATTATGTCAACTTATTGGTTACCTAGTTCTCCTCATTAACATATTTAGAAGATATATTTTTGAAAATTTAAAAAGAGGCTTGCATATTATAATGAGGATTTTTTCCCAGGTAGTACATTAAAGTCCCTAATTATGCTATAAAATATTTAAACTTGAGTTATGGTAAATATAAAAATGCTCGTATTGCTAAAGCTTTGAAGTAGTTTGATAGTAACAAAACAATTATTTTATAAATTATGCTTTGCTTGATCCATGCTGTGAAATATGCAACCATTAAGATGTCAGGGTTTTGTGAAGCAATATGAGATGTTTATGATCTGTTAACTATCAAAAGCTAACTGCCTCACTTAGAATAATTATAATATTTAGCACTTAAACATAAAGCTATACATTTTTGTTTATTATATATAGAAAATGTCTACATATACCACATCTACCTATGAACAGTGGTTTATGCTAATGAGGTTGGATTCAGAGAAATGGAGACTTACTTATAGAATTTTTTTATTATAAACATGTATTAGTTTTGTAATTAAAATTTGATTTTACAGACTACACAGTTGAACAGAGGTGCAATTTATATACTCATCGTAGAGGCATGGTCTGTGTCTAGTTTGCTAAATGTTGCTATATATATCCAGCTGCCTAGCCAAGACCCAGTCTACCACAATGTACAGCACTTTGATCAGCTTGGAAAACTTTCTTGTATTCTACCTTACAGGACAATCCATGTTGATTCTGCTTCTTAATTTTGAAGCAGTGGCTACAGTAGATGGTAATCACAGGCCATTTGGTTTACATTTTTTCTGTGGATGCAAAATTGCCGTTGATTAGCTTCAGCTTTTGGCTGTCTCATTATGTAATAATAATCTTACTTTCATTTAATTTTCTTTGTTGTTTTCTTTTCTCTCTTCACATACAATATGAGGTATGTAGATAGGTAGGCTGTACAGCCAGCACAGCCTGGCTTCCAACTCTCCATCCATTTGTCCCCACCTCTCTGTGCTGGGATGCTAGGCATGCTATATATAGCACACTAAGTTTTAGTTTGTTGCTGTTAATGAGCAGAATTTAATTAGGGTTTTTACTTTATGGGAACTCAGACAATTTATCATTGTTGGCAGGAGTGGCTATTTAGAATTGTGTAAGCAGTCTCAGAGTTAATTCTCATGACATGAGCTTCTGTTCAGAGGCTGCTGCATGCCTTGGACATGAACTCCGTTTTAAAAGTGACCCTTTGCCAATAGTATATTATGTAAGTTGTCTGTCTTCCTGCTTTGTTTTTCTGGTTTCTCTAGTGGGAACTAAAATCCTTTGCTGGCTGCAGGACTTGGGGCGGGGGGCTTCAGTGATTGATTAGAGCAGTACATGTGCATTGTATATATTTCATTAAGAGTTAGCAGTTCTTACCTGTTTCTAACTAAATTTGATTTCAGAAATTTTGCTGCCATTTGTTTCCTAAGTTTATGTTTTTATTGTTTTGTAATTTCATTGTTCTCTCTCTCTTTTTTTGAGTTTTTTCTTAAGTGTATTTGAAGACACAGAGACATATTCGAAGTATTTCCCCTTTTGTGCACCCTTTGTTTTTTTTTTTTTTTTTTTTTTTTGATTTTTCGAGGCAGGGTTGTAGCTAGAGTTTTCCTGCCTGGCCCACAGTCAGGATAAATCTCTGCCACCCGCCAGTCCCACAACCGCTCAGACCCGACCAAGTAAACACAGAGACTTATATTGGTTACAAACTGTATGGCCATGGCAGGTTTCTTGCTAACTGTTCTTACAGCTTAAATTAATCCATTTCCATTAATCTATACCTTGCTACATGGCTCGTGGCTTACCGGCATCTTCACATGCGACTTGTCATCATGGCGGCTGGCAGTGTCTCCCCGATTCAGCCTTCCACTTCCCAGCTCTATTCTCCTCCTTGTCCCGCCTATACTTCCTGCCTGGCCACGGGCCAATCAGTGATTTATTTATTGACCAATCAGTAACACATTTGGCATACAGACCATCCCACAGCACTTCCCCTTTTCTTTTCTTAAAAAGGAAGGTTTTAACCTTTATACATCTCCAAAGTCAGCTTGGTATATTTGGGAATTTGGGCGTAGCTTTTCTTACTACTTCCTGCTGGAGGGGGGCGCTGTATCTTATGGGGACACAAAGAATATTTTAGGATTATGGAGTAGTCCATGAGGGTGTATCGTCTGAGCCAGTTGCCTGAAACCATTCTGGATGTTGGATCATCTGGGCCATGGTGTCATCGGAGACCTTTCAGGGGGTCTTGGCTGGTCAAACCTGATGTATCTTAATCTGGAACAAATCCATAGTCTCTTGCTTTCTGTGGAAACAAAAGCAGAGTCTCCTTTCCAAAGCAACATATCCTTACATCCAAATTTTGAAGTTAAGGTACCTTTAAAATACACATTTTGGCATAACTCAACAGCTTCTGTAATCAAATGTTTTTCTTTAGTTATGAATATCAAAGAGAACATAATCCAGATTCTCTGTGTGGTAGCCATCTTTACGTGGCTTATTTTTTTATATTAGCTTGAGCCTATTGCTTTGAACTGTAGCCTTCTAAGCCTGAAACGGCACTGGCGCTGCTGGCTCCGCCCACTTTAGCTTCCCAACATGGCGGTGATAAGTTTTCTGCCAGCTCTGGGAGCCATCAACTCTCAGAAATAGTGGGTCTATGCTTCTATCAAAGCAGGATGTAGCCCAGAAACCTCTTTTTTTTTGTTTTGTTTTATACTAGCAAAGGCTAAATCCACCACACAGCTTAATGTGCCACTTGCAGAGGCCTCATTCCCGCCATACTGCAGGTCGAGCGCTCACGCTAGGAACCCGCCAGTAGCTCAAACCGGCAGCTGCCGCTCATTTGAGAGAGACAATTAGGAAGCTGTTTTTAGTTCCATTTTAGAATCTTTTTTTTTTTTTCAGTTTTTAGGTGGAAACTCTTGCCCCACGTTGGGCGCCATTTGTAGCTAGAGTTTTCCTGCCTGGCCCACAGTCAGGATAAATCTCTGCCACCCGCCAGTCCCACAACCGCTCAGACCCGACCAAGTAAACACAGAGACTTATATTGGTTACAAACTTTATGGCCGTGGCAGGTTTCTTGCTAATTGTTCTTACAGCTTAAATTAATCCATTTCCATTAATCTATACCTTGCCACATGGCTCGTGGCTTACCGGCATCTTCACATGCGACTTGTCATCATGGCGGCTGGCAGTGTCTCCCCGATTCAGCCTTCCACTTCCCAGCTCTATTCTCCTCCTTGTCCCGCCTATACTTCCTGCCTGGCCACGGGCCAATCAGTGATTTATTTATTGACCAATCAGTAACATATTTGACATACAGACCATCCCACAGCACAGGGTTTCCCTAGAACTTGCTTTGTAGACCAGGCTGGCCTCGAACTCACAGAGATTCACCTGCCTGTGCCTCCGAGTGCTGGGATTAAAGGCATGCGCCACCACTGCCTGGCTTTCGTGCATCCTTTTAATCTGCCTTGTGCTTATTAAGATTACTCTTTTGGTACCATGTAGGCACAGGTTCCATGTTGCACAAAGTCTTCCGGCATGTCTCTCCTTTCTTTAATTTTTTTATGTGTATATGTGTGGGCCTGAGTGTGGAAGTCACAGGAGAACTTGCAGGAGTGAGTTCTGTGGATCGAATACATTTATCCACTGAGCCATCTTCTGCTCTCTCCTTAACTTTACTGTTAACACTCTAGAAGGGTCTCATTTTACCAGAGGGTCTGAATTTGTGCTGTATGTAGGGCATGTAGAGGTTACAAAGATGAGACCTCAGTTGTTGAGTCTGCAGTCAGGGAGCTCTGGAGCAAGTCATCCTGTTAGGCTTCCCATTTAGAAGTACAAGGAAAGTGCCATTAGAGATAGACTAGGGAGGTCTGAGGTCATAGGGATTGGCAAATGTTTTATTTCAGTTAAAGATGATTAGTAATTAGTAATGGAGGAGATAGGGCGCACAAGGGTGTGCTGGATAAAGAGAGAATAAAAGCAAAGGCGCAAAGGCATGAAAAGATGTGGTGAGCCTTGAAAGTGCTCACATTTGACTACTAAGTTGGTTTTCAGAAGGGCAGGTGAAATCAAGAAGTTGAGAGAGGCAGGCTAGGAAATGCAGAGGACTGTTTTGTTTTCACTAAAAGCATAGCAGCCAAAGACTGGGAATGAGGGTAGTGATTAGAGCTGCAGCTTAGGAACGACACTGGTAGAAGTTACTCATGAAATAGTGCATCATGAAATGAGTTCAGTGGTTGTATTGTAAGCATTTAAAAATAAATGGGGGGAGTGTTGGAGAGATGGCTCAGCAGTTAAGAGTCCTGACTGCTCTTCCATAAGACATGGGTTCAATTTCCAGCACCCACATGGAAGCTTCCAACTGTCTGCAACTCCAGTTCCAGAGTATGGACACCCATGGCAAAACATCAATACACATTAAAAAAATGAAAAAAAAAAGAGATTTGTTAAAAAAATAAATGGAAAGCTTAATCAAACTGTTATTCTCATAGTAAAGGAGTTTCTGAAATTTATTATAAATATAAATGTATATCCATATATTTAGCATTCATTGCATTTTTTTTTTTTTTTTTTTTTTGGTTTTTCGAGACAGGGTTTCTCTGTAGCTTTGCGCCTCTCCTGGAACTCACTTGGTAGCCCAGGCTGGCCTTGAACTCACAGAGATCCGCCTGGCTCTGCCTCCCGAGTGCTGGGATTAAAGGCGTGCGCCACCACCGCCCGGCCTGCATTTTTTAGATCAGGTTACAGCTGAAATTGCAAGAAATCTTTTTCACAAGAACATGAATTGCAAAGCTGTAGACCAGCTAGGAAGTTATTACAGTCTCTTAGTTCTAATAATATAGTGAACTTGATAATCTGAAAAGGCTTTTGCTGTACACTTTGGGGAATCCTAAATAGAGAGAGTAAAGTGTTTCATAAAATGCAAAGCCAATGAAGAACATGAGTGAAAGTGAGGAGTTAATAAGAATTAACAGGACCAGCTAGAAGAACTTGAGCTAATATTAGGAAGCTGGGCTTTGGGAAAAGCTGACTAATGGCTGGTTTTCCAAATGTATGGTTTTTGGTTTTAGCAATGGGTTAATGCTGGCAGTGAAGACTATCCAGCAGTCAGCCTAACATAGTAATTAGGAAGAAGGTCTCTCATTGTAAGATCTAGATTTGAGGAAAAATCCTTCTGAGAATGCAGAATGGTTGCAGATCTGCCAGAGTCTTAGAGTTTTCTTCTGACTACTGCAGTTGTCTTAGAACCTTCAATCTGGGAAATTGCCACAGATGTTTGATTTTGTCAGTTCTTGAGAGGCATGGTGGAAATGAAGCCCAACTGTTCTGTCTTCACATGTTCTGAATCCATGCCACATACTTTTCACTTCACACTGTATTAAAAATCAACCCACCATGAGAAAACAGTGTGTACAGTAAATGGCAGGGGAATTTCCCCAAAAACTTTAACAAATTAAATCTATCTGGTAGACACATAATGGCTTTCTTAAAATGATTAGACATAAAAGACTTAAGAGGAAAAACAAGTTGATACAGAAATCAAGTATCATTGACATTAAGCACTTGTTTCATAAGTTAAATTTAGACACAGCTTTCAAATGTATCTGTCTTGAGAAACCAAAAGGAAAAAAAAATTATTGAACTAGCTGATGATTCTGAGGAAATTAACTACAGTGCAGCAGAGACAAAAAACTTAGAAATATGAAAGCAATTTAAGAACAGAAAGGAAAAGGCAGCCTGGGTTCCAGATGTAAAGAATAGAAATAATTGGTGAAAGACAGTAGTAAGAAAATGTGAGGATAGGAACTCTCCACAGTTGTGAAAGACAGCTTTAGGAACCACAGGCCTGAAGTCCCAAATGAAAAAAAAGCAAAACAAAACAAATACCAAAAAACTGAAAGCCTCCCGAAAATGTGTATCTACACACTTGAGAATGAAACTGTGGAAGTTTGAATGTAATTACCTCCATAGGCTCATAGGCACTATTAGGAGGTGTGGCCTTGTTAGAGGAAGTGTGTCACTGTGGAGGCGGGCTTCGAGGTCTCATATATGCTCAAGATACAGCCCAGTGCCTCCGACCACTTCCTGTTGCCTGCAAGTCAAGGTGTAGGGTACTCGGCTACTTCTCCGACACTGTGTTGCACTATGATGATAATGAACTAAACCTCTGAAAATGTAAGCTACCCCAATTAAATGTTTTTCCTTTTATAAGAGTTGCCATGGTCATGGTGTCTCTTCACAGCAGTAGAAACCCTAACTAAGACAGAAACCAACACCCATCTGTGCTGTAAAGAATAGATGAAACAAACAAAGACAGAAGTTGGGAAATTGAGTAATGGGCTTAGGAGATCTAGCAGATAGGCACAGCATGACTCTCACTTTGCAAAAGGGTTAGGATTGTGCAGAGTGTCTTAGTCTGTGTTATTGTAAATGCTGGAGATCAGGTAATAAAGAACACCAGTTTGCTTCCCACAGTTCTAGAGGCTGGCAATTCTAAGACCAAGGTGCTGACACCTGGCTTTCCTGCTGTAGCCTCATGTGATGGAAGGTATGAGCCTAAGTGAGAGGGAGCCCATTTCTACAAACCCTAGAGCAGCCTCCATCCATTCATGAAGGCAGAGATCCTATACTTATAATATTGTTGTACTGAGAATTACGTTTATAACAGGTGAACTTATGGAGACATCTGTAGACCATAGCTCTGAGCCTTCTAGTTTAATTATCTAGGTATATTTCATTCAAGACTGAGCATGAAAAGACCTGCTTTCATACCAAGAATTTAAGCCGTATATAGGCAATAAATATTGTTTGGTATTTGTTGAGTTTGGAGTGACTGTGGTTCATCTATGTGTAGTTATTTCTACATCAGTAGAAATGCCAGTTCTAAATCTTGAAATATGAAATGCTAAGGATATTTTGCTGTTGTTCTTTGGTTTTTGGTGACTGGTTTCACTATGGTGTTCAGTCTGCTCTTTTAACAAGTTACCTTCCTGATATGTTGGGTCTCCAAGTCTCATAGCACTGTGACTAACCGTGGGTTAAGATTGCCAGTGGCTAGCATATGGGGTCAGTAATACATGGTGGCATGTTTTGAAGGTGGAGGAATAAGCCTCTTTAAGAAGTAGACACAGAATGTGAATGTGTGGGACCAGGAAGGTGTGAGGTTGATAAGTGCTGTGAGATTTGCTCATCAGCCATCTTAGGGGAAAGATGGGAAACACTCGGTTTACTCCACAGTGAGTGGTGGCAACACCTGAGAAATACCGCCAGCCAGAGACGTTCATTAGGAATGCAGTGCTCAGAACTGTTGAGTGTTGGTCAGGAGGAGTTTTCCCTGTTAGGAATGATGCCAGGATTAGTGGTGTAAGGAAAGAATGATCTGGATGTGAGAATGTGGACAACTGAAGGCTGAGCAGCAAATGAAGGAAGGATAATTTGTTTTCTTTTGTTTAGCTTAAAATATTCATTTTACCATGCAACAGTATACCACTTTAGAAGTATTTTCATTCCTTTTGTATTATAATCCTTTAGGTTTTGAGGGCAGCAAAATCTATTTAACTCCTAATGCTGTTATGAAAACAGTATTGCTTGTTAAATGACCAGCTGCTTCTCAGGCCACTTGCCTTCTTTCCACCAGAGGGCCCTCTTTTTCTTTTTCTTTCTTTTTTTCCAATTCTCTGTGGGGGGGGGGGGGGGAGGTGGGGGTGGTCAGAGGACAATGTGCAGAAATCAGATGTCTCCTACCACATGGACCCAGGGGTATGGAATTCAGGACCCCAGCCCTGGCCGCAGCTGCCTTTTCCTGCTGAGTCATCTCTCCTGCTGGCCTTTTTGTGTTTTCTTTTCTCAAGGGCCATTCTTTTACCTTTTCACCCCTGCTTTTTAAACTGCTGCTTTGTATGCATCTTTCTTTTTCAGCATTTTCTTTGTGATTTATTCAGGAAAGTCAAGACTTAACAGGCTATGTATGGGAAGTCTTTTTTAATAATATTTTACTTTTTTAAAGTTTTATATATTTATACTGTGTGTATTGATCATATCCATCTACTACTATCTCTAATGAAACATGTAAAAGCTTATGGCCCTAGAAGAATATTATTCTTTTTTGTGTTTGAATATTCCTAGAAAGAACATAGAAAAGCAACAGTGTGAAGTGACTGTTGGAGCACAGTGTGGCAATGCAGTATTGAGAGGAGCCCATGTCTACGTTCCAGGAATTGTGGCAGCTTCCAAATGTAGGTATAAGATTTGAGGCGCCCTACAATTCATGAGTGTGATCAGTTGGAATTTACATATATTAACTCTGCCTTTGTTATGTATTTCCTGACATTTTCTGTGGAGGATTTTATCCTCTAAAAATAAGTGTGATGGTTAATTTGAATTGTTATTGATACAACGTAGAGTCATTTGGGAAGGGACTCAATGGGGGGGATTGTCTAGATCCCCTGGCTTGTGGCATATCTGAGGTGGATTGTCATGATAATGTTAACTGGGGCAGGGAAACTTGCTTGATATTGGCAGAATTCCTTAGGAAATAGGATCCTGGATTGTCTAGGAGTGGAAAAAGCAAGCTGAATGCTAGCTAGCATGTGTTCATTTATTAGTTGCTCTCTGCTCCTGACTGGATGTGATGTGACTAGCAGCTTCAAGTTCTTGCTGCCTTGATTTCCCCACAGTGATGGACTGGAACCTGGAACCATGAGCCATTGACCCTTTCTCCTAAAGTGGCTTTTGTCACAGCCATAGGAAGCAGAACTTAAAACAATTAGGCATCCACATAAAGCTTTTTGTCACTGTTCTGCTTTTCCACATGAGAGCCATTATGGTGATATTTCTCTAGGGAACAGAGAAATATAGAATGTAAAATGATAGTGAAGGAGACTGAATGTTCATAGTTAAGAGCACCTTTCCACTATGTCAGGTTGCTCACAACTGCCTGTAAAACTCCCTCGTACACATGGCACAAGCATGGATGCGTATGTGCACAGACATGTTTTTACAAAAGGTAGTGAAGCTTCATTTTCTGTTGCTGGCTTCACTGCCTTAAAACCGCTATCTAGTCTCAAGATATTTATCTGGGTGACATCCAGAATCCTAGACAGTGGGATGAACTTGATGTTCTTCATGGGTTCACTTTGGTGATTTTGAATTAAATGTGCTTTGTTGCTTCAGTGGGACCTTATTTGGGCTTGTATCAGGAAGCACTAGTTTAGATCTATTACAGACGTGTTCAGTTCCTAGACCTCACCCACCGTGTATATGATGATCTGGAAAATGATTGCTAGCTGGCCTGATTGCTAGCATGGCCCTGGATTCTTTTTTAGTGTACATATTTGTTGAATCTTTTTGTAGGCAACTTAGAATGTTGAGTCATGATACTAAGACTTATATAATAACTTTTACTTTGTATTAGATTTGGGGGAAATAAGTCATATAGATGATACTTCCTGTTTAGTTGAAGATTTAGATCAATGGTTTGAGTACCATTTCTGTGTTTGTAATGAAAATCACTTGTCCATTTAGATGTTAGGGAATGTTTAAAAGCTAAGAGTTGAGTTGCTGTTGAGGATTATGCTGAGACAATGAGCCAGTTTGGATTGTTTCTTGTCCATAATTGATATCTCTACAGATAACCATTTGAGGTTGAAGGATTTTTCACTAGTCTGCCAAAGCATGGATTAACAGTCTGATTTTCTTCTTTAACTTAGTTATGAAAGCTGGAGATGTTATTTCCGTATATTCTGATATTAAAGGGAAATGTAAGAAAGGAGCCAAAGAATTTGATGGAACTAAAGTATTTCTTGGAAATGGAATTTCTGAACTAAGCCGTAAAGATATCTTCAATGGGATACCCGATCTGAAGTATGTCATCGAGCTCTGTTGGGGAAATAGCATCCTTTCTGTGGTTCAAAAAGCTCTAAAGAGTGAAAAGGTGTATTTTGTTTTACTACATAAATTTTTAAATGACTTCAACTGGAAAAAATGAGCTGATATTTCCATGATTTGTGGAAAGAGCTCTTTTTTGGTCAAAAAGGGTAAGTGGATTAAAAACCAAAGCAGTAGAATGTGGACAAAGCTCAGGGATAGGGTGCAGTGCTGCTCTGCCTGAGGCCCTAGTTCAGTCCTCAGCCATGCAAAACAAAGCAAAAAGCCCGGGCGAGTGACTGATCACTGTAATTGTTTAAGAATTTTACTTTTAGATTTTAATTGTTTAAACTTTGAAGAGCAGTACTTATTTTAATACAGAATTAGATTACTTACTTTTTCAAACATTCTCATTTTCTCAAAAAGTTTAATTTTAATGTAAATCAAATATAAAAAAATTATTTTAAGCAAAAGTAAATTAGACTTGAAATGTAGCACTCATGAATGTTTGTCGTCAAAACTAAATGTTTCAATTTGTTCAAGCCACAGTGAAATAGAATTAGTTCTAAATCATATCTGGATGTTGGTTGCACTAAGTACATTGAGGCCGTGAACAAAGGAAGCCCCGCTTTGCTTTCTTCAGCTTGTTTTAGGAGTGCCGTGGAGCGCCATTACTCCAAAGTTGGCAGCTGGCACACAATGCTGAGCACTGTGAATTGAGCTGTTTAGAAGGGTTCCAGAGCCCTCATTCCTGGACAGTTTGTCACATTGGAGCAGTTTTCCTCTGTGAATGAAATCAGTTCTCCTGAAGAAACAGATGATTAGCCTCTTAAGGTCTAAGAAAGAAAAACTTTGCAAGTGTCTAGAACCTGGTTTTATTCTCCTTGGAATGTTTTGTTGATAGAGTTATGTGTCTCTGTGTCTGTAGTAGGAAGTTGATAGCTTTGACTGCCCACTTTAGTTGATGAGTAATAGAGTGCTCCTCAGCCTCTCATTTGATGCAGTGTTTCTAGTGATGTGCTGAACCATGTTTGCTTTTCTAGTGGGAGTAAAAGGTAGCCATTCTTCAAAGAGCCTGTCGGTTCTCTCTGCCAGTGCTTGTGAGCTCTCTCCCGCTTTGATAGTTATGGTACACGCCTCTCAGGTGCAGTTTTTGTCTTTATGAATTACTGTACGTCATGCCCTTCCTGTTCCCAGCCCTTCCTGTCCCAGAAACTCCACTGTCACTAGGGAAATGGGACAGAGGTAGAAAAGGTCAACTGGGGGCAGTGTCAGTACTGGGTATACTGGGTGTACTGGGCAGCTTTTCTTTAAAAACATAGGGTAGAGCAGGGTCCTGCCTTTGTCAGTGCTCAACATCAGCCTGAGTGTCGATATTTTCCCTGTTTGTGCTACCAGAAAGAGTAGAATGAAGCAATAAGGATTAGGTCTTGTTTCCTTTTTAATTTATTGACCTCTTTAAAGGAACTCTTGTGCTTACTAAAATAGTTATGTAACTTTATTTGTTTATTTATTTATTTGGATTACCTCTCCTATAAAATAAAAAGCAATCCACAGGACTATGTAATTTGTTGTTTGCTGTGGGATGGTCTGTATGTCAAGTGTGTTGCTGATTGGTCAATAAATAAATCACTGATTGGCCAGTGGCCAGGCAGGAAGTATAGGCGGGACAAGGAGGAGAATAAAGCTGGGAAGTGGAAGGCTGAGTCAGAGAGACACTGCCAGCCACCACAATGACAAACAGCATGTGAAGATGCCGGTAAGCCACAAGCCATGTGGCAAGGTATAGATTAATGGAAATGGATTAATTTAAGCTGTAAGAAAAGTTAGCAAGAAGCCTGCCAAGGCCATACAGTTTGTAACCAATATAAGTCTCTGTGTTTACTTGGTTGGGTCCGAGCACCTGTGGGACTGGCAGGTGAGAGAGATTTGTCGTGACTGTGGGCCAGGCAGGAAAACTCAAGCTACACTGTTAAATAAAAGAAGTCTTAAAAATGAAGAACAGTTTATATTTGATGTGTCATAGTGGGTGTTCCTAGAAATATATGCTATATAACTTATACAGACTAATGTTTAATTTCTTACTTTTTAGAGGTATAGGCATAAGAATGACAGAACCCATATATCTCAGCCCTTCATTTGACAATGTTCTACCCAGTTACTTATTTTTACAGGTGAGTAAAGTAAAAATTGAATGACATTGAATCACTCAGATAAATTATTAGAAATTATTTTTCTCTTTTATTGATATTCTTGTGGTCTCTTCATATTCTGACCTACCATTGTCAAATACTAAGACAGTCTTACAAGCACTCTTGTTTTCTTTCCCTATATTAATTTTAATACAGTTATTTAATCCTCAATGTCCAAAGGTGACTGCTTTTCATCTCAGAATGTTAGTCAGAAGTACTGATGTGCAGCTGTGGGTTCTAGCTGTAAGAGTAATTAATATGCCAATGGTTTGCTGCTGGCGGGTTTTGTCAGGTTGTTGATGAAGTGCCGTGACATCATGAGCTCTTTTCAGTTTTTGGCTTCTTAAGAACATTCACAGACATCAGCTCATTTCAGTGCTGTTATTCTTTTGTGAAGTAGAAATACTAGACTAGATCTGTTGGGGTTCTTGGTCAAGTCACACTGCTAATAACTGGCAGCATCTGAAATTAAAACCAAACCCAGGAGCTCCATGCTTTCTTCTCTTCCCAGTATGAAGCTCTGGGAGAAACAGAGTTTGCTGTCACTTAACCTCCTCAGGACCTACAGCTTTCTGCCTACTTGGTTGTGAATCACTTCAGGTGATTTTGTTTGATTGCTTTCACTTGGTGGTTATTTGCCAACACACCCATGACTCACTGTGGGTGTTTTCTGCACACCTTCACATTGTTAATAATGAAAGAAGTGTTAATTTTCACTTTGGTAAGATACAGGACCATAAGCCTCCTCATCATATAAGTTAGTTTAGACTTTGGAAAGGAGAAATCCATGTAGTACAGACTTCTTTTACATCTCTTACTGTTATACCAACTTCAGCTACCTTCCCTCATTTGGGACTTTATATTCTTTTTTCAGTGTGTGTATGTATGTATGTATGTATGTATGTATGTATTTATGTGTGCATTGTGGGTATGTGCTCCAAGTGCAGGTACCAAGAGGCCAGAAGGTGGTGTTAGAGCCCCGCAAGCTGGAGTGGGGGTGATTGTGAGCTGCCTAATGTGAATGTTGGTAACCAAACCCAGCTCCTCTGCAGGAACAGTACACTCTCTTAACTGCTGAGCTGCATCTCAAGCCCCCTGGATCTCCAACTGTAAAAACAGCTCAGGGATGGTTATAAAATATAAATCACATGAGAATTTGTGATCCATAATATCCATTCATGCCACAAAGTTATTGTTTGTCATTCTGTAACAAAAGAATTAGACCACTGCTGGACTAAAGCTTTTGTATTTGAGGATAGAGTGTAACTTTTCTCATTTTCCTAGTGGAAACTTTTTATTATATGTAATATTACAATATTTAACTGGTCATTGATTGGCTAGTGAAACTGACTAAAAATTATAATAATGATTGCAGTTAATGTGTACTGAGTATTTACTTATGTTCCACAAGTGTTTCATATATACTTCATGGACCACTTAAAAATCTCTAAGGTCATCGATAATGGAACAGAGGCTTTAACAAAGTAAAGTATATGGCAGGCAGTGGGCTAAATGCCTGCCTCGCTGACGGTGAGACAGACAGAAATAGCAAAGCCAAAATTTGAACCCAGGTCTTTGAATCAAACTTGTGTTAGTTCTTTAGACATGGCTCCTGGAGACCTATACACACATTAGTACAGGGCTCATTTAAGATGCAGGCCATAGTCCAGTCTGAGCTGGAATGGAGGCTTTAAGTCAGCAGTTCTCAACCTATGGGTTGCGACCCCTTTGGAGGTTGCATATCAGGTATCTTGCCTATTTGATTTTTACATTATGATTCATAACAATAGCAAAATTACAGTTATGAAGTAGCAATGAAATAATTTTATGGTTGGGAGTCACCACAACATGAGGAACTGTATAATAAGGAATGCAACATTAGAAAGGTTAAGAACTACTTAGAGTCTAAGCAATTTCTATGTTTCCTAAGTGTTCTAAATGCTGTTTTTATGGCTTTGTGGCCAGAGTTTAGTTGGTCTAAAAACATTTATTGATCTTTTTCTATCAAATTTCTCTTTACAAACTAGTTCAAATCTAGCAGATTTTTTTTCAAGTGAAAAAAAAAATTCTATACAATATATTTTGATCATGTTTTTCCTCTCCAGCTCCCAATTTCTCCCAGGTTCCCCCCACCTCCATATGCTGCCCATCTTTATGTTCTTTCTCTTTCAAAAAAACCAAAACAAAACACCAAGCAAAAACAACAATAAACAACAACAAAACCGAGAAACATACCCCTAAAGAAACCCACAAAACAAGCAAGTAACAACAGATCAGTAAGATAAACACACACACACACACATACACACCACACACACACACGCACACTTTAAAACAAAGCAAAATGAAACAAGAAGTCCACAGAACTACCATTGAGTTTGTTTTGTGTTAGCCAACTACTTACTTCTGGGCATAGGGCCTGCCATGGTATGTGATTTAAAAATACCCGATGAGACTCTGTTGGAGAAAATTAATTTTCCTTTACCGGCAGGTATCCATTGCAGATAGCTTCTTGGTTAGAAGTGAGAGCCCATGTCCACTTCCTCCTCTCAGTGCTGGGACCCTGTCAGTCTTGAATCTGTGCAGGTCTTTTGTGTGCCACCACACTCTCTGTGAGTTCATATGTATATCAGTCCTGTTGTGTCTTGAAGAAACTTTCTGTGGCGTCATCTCTCGCTCTTACAGTCTTTCTGTCTCCTCTTTTGCATAGGATTTTGAGCCTTGAGTGGGGAGGTCTTTGATGAAGACATCTATTTAGGAATAAGTGTTTGGAAGTTGCGCAGTGTCTTCACACTGACCAGTGGTGGCTCTCTGTTAATTTCCATCTGTGCAAGAAGCTTCTCTGATGAAGGTTGAGCCAGGCACTGGTCTATGGGTATAGCAGTATGTCACTATGATTTCTTTTATTCTTCTGTTCCTTTAGCAGAAAAATAGTATTTATTAGTATTTATGTATCTCTAGGTCCATGATCTGACTCAGGTTCTTGGCAAGTTTAGTAGTATTAAGTATGGGTCCCATTTTATGGACTGGGCTTGAAATCCAATTAAAAAAATTAGTTGGAACATTTGTGCCATTTTTGCACCAGTGTGTCTTGCAGGCAGGTCAGTGTTTTAGGTTGTAAGATTTGTAGCTGGGTGATATTGATGATTACCTTTCTCCTTTAGTAGCATACAGAGTACCTTCCAGCACCATGACTGCTTGTCAGTGGAGGTGAAGCTTCTAGTTAGGTACTAGCTTGTCTTCTCAATTATTCGATGACATACATTGTAAGAGTAGTTGTCTTAGTTATGGTTTCTGTTGTCATATGTGATATGGCTTCACTGCCTAAGCTTGGCTGTCTTGAAACTGGCTCTGTAGACCAGGCTGGACTCAAATTCAGAGATCCACCAGCCTCTGCCTCTGGAGTGCTGGGATTAAAGATGTGCACCGCCACACCCTGCTCTAAGCTTTTATTGAATTCCTTTTCACAAGTTGGAAAATTAGGTGGGTGACATCTTGCCCTGAGGTCACCACTCTCTTTATTCCATTTCTTAATCTGTTTGTCTCCTTGATCAGAGGATTTAGCTCCATTCCTCTTCCTGGTACTCGCTTTCTCCTCAAATTGTACATTTCATTTTTTTCCCTTCTCAGCTTGTTCCTTTTCAGTATAAATCTTTATAAGCATGAACACTAATAACCACATGACAGAGTCTGTACTAGGCTGTTTGAGATTTCCTCTGCCAACAAAATTAATCCAAATCTCTTCACTTTAGCCTCAGACAGACTCTTCAGACAAGGGCAAAAGCAGCCATATTCTTCACCAAAATATCACACAAACAATCTCTAGGTCCTCACAGTTCAAATAACTCCCAGTACCACTTCCATGCTCTTGCTATTATGGCCCATAAATCAGTGCTTAAAGCATTCCACTGCTTTCCTAACCCAAACACCCGAAGACCAAATTCTTCCAAAGAAAAGCATGGTCAAGCCTATCACAGAAATACCCCAGTCCCTGGTACCAACTTCTGTCTCAGTTAGGGTTTCTGTTGCTGTGAAGAGACAACATGACCATGGCGATTCTTATAAAGGAAAAGATTTAACTGGAGTGGTTTACAGTTCAGAGGTTTAGTCCCTTATCATTATGGCAAGACATGGCAGCATGCAGGCAGACATGGTGCTGGAGAAGGAGCTGAGAGTCCTACATCTTGATCTGCAGGCAACAGGAAGTAAACTGTGACACTGTGCATAGCTTGAACATAGGAGACCTCAAAGCCCACCACCTCAGTGACACACTTCCTCCAACAAGGCCACACCTCCTAATAGTGCCTCTCCCTTTGGGGGCCATTTTCCTTCAAACCACCACAGTCGTCTTCAGCAATAGTGCTCTACCGTCAGGTTGGAGAAAACAACCAATAGCCTTGGCAAGAGTCTGTGATGTTTGGGAGTTCCTGTAGAGACCCTTTGGCAAAGGACATGACAAGAAGTAACCCATCCCTTACACTGGATGTTTTACTTGGTGGCATAAGCTACCTAGTTGGGGCATTGTCTCCCTTGTATTTGGTGTCACCATTTAGATTCCTTTGTTATATGTGTCTATCTTAGGAAGCTTCTACAGTAGGTTTCTATATGGTTTTTCAAAAGCCTTTTAGTGTTAGTTGTCCCTCCCCATGTCTCTGCCTGTACCCTTCATGCTGATCTCCTTCCCTATTTAATTCTCCCATTCATTTTTCCTTTATCTCTCCATAACACTATATTCTGTTTCCCTTCCTTGGAAAGCCTTTCCCCTCTCCCCAGTCCCTTATGAGATACCTAACCTCTGTGTTATTTGTTTTGTAGCATACATTTCAAAAGCTTAAAAGCTAATATCCACATATAAGAGAAAACATAGACTATTTATCTTCTGGGATCTGAGGTTCCCTCATTCAGGATGATTTTTTTTTCCAGCTTTATTCATTTATCAGATGGACATCTAGGCTGTTTCCAATTTCTGGCTGTTATGAATG